TTCCCCCCCCCCCCCCTTTGATGCTTGGTCCCTTCCTAAATTCAGCGTTGTTGCAGAAAGATGATGGTGTTTTTGCAAGCACCATATTTTGCATACGCACCCAGAGAGATGAACCAAGCTTTTTTATTAGGAACCATCCCGATGTATTTGCATGAACCGGTCGTTCCCCTGTATCATTTTTCTCCAATGATGTGCGATGTAAAACTATTTTATGTGTTGTAATTCTTAAAGTTCAGACCTTGTTTGATGTTGGGTTGCGGTAACAATTAAAAAAAAAAAAAAGAAATAGAGAGAGACTAGAAGCTTTCTGTGTAGATTTTGATCCGAGCAAGCAGCAAGCAGACGAAGGAGCATTTGGACATACATCGTGTTCGTGGCTTCTTCCTGTCGGGAGCTGAAAAATGAGAAAAGAAAACACATGTTTGCTCTTTCTGAAATTCGCATTTCGTTTTAACAATATGGATCGAGTTGGTCCAAACTCAAATTCCAAAATCAACGAATAAGGGACTATCTCAATTGCTTAACGACAAATCTCGAGTTTTTCTTGAGTTAAAACCAAATACATATCATCCGCTGGATCCAAGACTGTCAATCATCTAATGGGTCTTGCTTGAAAATTGAAAGATAATTGATTTTTAATTAACTGGTAATAGCGTGTGTGTATGTAAATAAAATTCCCACAATCAGAGTTTTGTTTTCCCTTGAAACCCCCCAGAAAACAGTTCCGAGTCCGACACCCAAAAAACCCTTATCTCCTGTAGAGATGATGATGGAGAAATCGTTCTCGTTGATCCAAACGGTGGCCACTGCCGGTGTCTTCTCTGCCATCTCCTTCTGGTGAGTTCATCGTTTATTCTACATCTCTCTCCTCTTCCCCTCTCTTCCGTATCTCTGGATTTTCCTAGGGTTTATACTTTTTCCCGCATTTCCCCAAGGTACGGTTTCATGTTCGGTCGAGAGTCCGCGAGAAAAGAGCTTGGCGACTTGATCGAGGATCTCCGTCGCGGTGGTTCCTCCTCCGGTTCACCTTCTCATTCATGATTTAGGTATTTCGATCTCCCAGTTGTTGTCGTTTTGATGTTCCTTTTTCGTTTGCCTGTTGCCGACTTAGGTCAGCGAATAGGTCTGCTTTGGATTTTTTTTTCCTGATAATGCCATTAAACCAGTGGTGACTTCCAAAATATTCGTCATTATGGTTGTTCTTCATCCCGTGGTTTTCTCCACTTGTTCGAGTTCGTTTATGTTAGACATTATTGCCTTCAAATTTAGGTATGGAATTTCCGGACAGTTCGATAGATAAGATTAGTCTTGGGCACTTCTTTTCCTGGATAATTAAACTAAGAAGTATGATGGAGTAAGGCTGCTACAAGAATGAATCTTGTTTGAGATGGATTTGCTGATGGACAATGAAGATTGTTCAAGGCATTTTGGTAATGTTTTAAGTATTCACATCTTGTTTTTCCTTCCCCGCTTCAACCTTGGTGTATTACCGAGCAAATAAACTTTTCAAGATCCCTATGTTTAGAGCCCTATTTTTTTCTCTCTCTATTGCCCTCTGTTTATATGTGACAATGAAACCTATCGTATCATATCGAATTTAACTATCTAGCAATCACACTAGAGCTGCCTCCTTGGCCTTCTCATTACTCTTGCTTCTTACGAATCCCACATAAAGATAATTTTTTCTGGTGTCACATTCTGATACCCTGCTTTCATGACCACCTTCCCTCATGTTCTTAACAAACTCCACAAATTGCTGCCAATTTTCACCCTCAAATAACCTCTTGTTCATTCTTAGATATGTAAAAGCAGCTAACCCTTTTCCAGAATCAGACCTACTTGTTGCAACAACTTGTCTATATGCACTTGCATCATACCTTTCCAGTGCATTTTCCCCTGCCAGTGCTGTTCCAGCTTTCCCTGTTGCAGTCTTGACTTGCCTGACCAGATTTTCCGGTGAGCAGTTCGAATACTCTGGTTGCCCTCCATCTCTCATTTCCATGCAAGTGAAGTTGAACACGACTCCGTGTTTGCCAAGCATCTGAGTTATTGGCAGATAACCATATTGATCTCTTGTGTTGTAGTATCCAGGTGTTAGTTCAGCAGCATGTGACCTGTGTTGTAGTGCCAGTGAATTCCAGCTATTTTTCCTGACAGCCTTGCTCCCGTCCCTTGGAATATCCTTTTTGCTGCTGCTAGGACTTTACCTACATGTTCTAGCAGCTTCCCGGAGTACCATTCCAGGAAAAACTGCCCATATTGACTATTCCACGTATCATCCCTCCGGAAGAATCCGGTATCTTCAGGAAGTTGCTTGTAGTTTCCTGCATCATGAGGTCCAGTCCTTCCCCAGTCATTCTTCCCTGTTGCTTTAGCATATACTTGGAGTGAGGCTCTCATGTACTGCCATCAAAAGATATCAGCCAGTTCTCAGAAGAAGTTAACCCAATATCGGTAATCTGAAGGTCCGAAACATATCTGTGCTGTCTTTTCATATTTATGTCTGGTAATTACTTTGCACCAATGAAAATCAAGCTCCACCATTCAGTTGTGGTTTAGTTTCAGGTGTATGAGTAATATTTCTATGAATGCTGTTGCAAATTGAAGTGTTATTTTTCCTTGGAAATGTACCTTGTCATAGCACTGGAACTCTCCGATCCCGGGAAATCTCCACGTCCCATTGCTTTCTGGATAAGATGGGTACCTTAGTTCTCCACAAGGGCCCATACCCACCTGGATTTTTGTGATTATTTGTCCATTCTATTAACACTTTGCTTCTGTTATAGCGTGCTGTTTCATTAAATGTTTGAATGTTTGATTCCCACATTTCCTAAATAAAGTTCATTTTTTTCCTTGTTGCTTTTGGTTAGATGCTTACCACAATGACTCCGCCTAGATAGTCTCTGAATCTTTCATGGAAGCTCCTCATGTAATCCGTGTAGACTTGGATAGGTGTTCGTCCTCTTAGAACCGGCACCGAGTCACAGCCCAAGGAAATATACTCAGGATTCCTTCGCCCAGATCTGTCTGTATAGACAATATCAGGGTTCTTACTGCTTTCTTCAAGCACCCATGGGGGCAAGAGAATATTATATTATAAGAGAAACCATGTAGGTAATCAGCTAAGCTAGGAAATTACATGTAAGAGGGAAATGTTTGCATGCATAAAGATTGACTTTGAATAGACTGTGTTGTGACTGCAAATAGTGAGTTGATCTCCATATATTGAATGAAGTAAACCCCTCTTGTCTGTATCATCATCCTGAGGGTGATGGTATGAGAGGGAAAGGAAAGTATTATGTTTTTCGAGATTTCTGAGGGAAGGGGCTCTATAGCAGCAGATTAACATAGATTTGCTTCATTACCTGCAAGAGTCTCCAACATTGCCTCCGCATTGATGAAAGGACATAACAACCTGGAGTTTCAGACCATGATTTTGAACCATCTGGATAAGCTCATCGTAGCCATCCCAGTTGTACTTTAGAGGTCCGTCTTTCTCCACCAATCCCCACCAAGCATCTACCATTACCCCATCCGCTCCTGCACGTTTTAGGGCCATCAAACTGGCGTTCATCGCCCTTGGTTTGTTCAGATTCCCTGAAATTGTCAGTGTCTAGCGGCAGCATGGCAAAAAGCGGAACTTTATAACTGTCGGTGTCATGTATATGCGATAGAGCATGGAACTTTTCCCATCTTCCAGTGGTTCTGCCTTCTGGAGTGAAAGTCAATTCACGGGAAAAAGATCGAGCTCTTTACCTGGAGATTGTATGTCGGTGGTCTGTTGACAAATGCAATGTTAAGTCATTTCTAGGTTCCCAGGGCTTGTTGAGTCGTTTGGATTGATAAGAGAGGTTGACAAACGCAATGTTAATGCCATGTATCTCTTTGGTCTGTTGAGAAATGAGGATAGAGAAAAAGAGATATAGGTGTATGAGAGGAGTGGCTGAGTATACGTTTATAAAGAAAAAATCAAGGCTGCTGAAGTCAATTTTCATGTGTCACATTTCTGGCACTCCTTTTCTTGCCCCCCCGTGAAAATGAGACATATGGGCGTCTCATACTTTGTTTTTTTATTCTAGTAACTTTTGAATATAAAGCTTTCCTTATGATATTCTTCAATTGCCCTCCTGCTGCTTTTAGTTGCAGCTAACCTTCAGCCATATCTTGCTATATGAAGGTAATGTTGATAAGGTAATAATCAAGCCTTCATCACGTGGTTGTTACTAAGCCTGCTTATCTTCTAGGGTTTTCCCCTTATGTAGGATTCGCATGTAAGATGAGCAAAAGTGAGCAATCAGTGGGCGCACCTCTTTAATTATTCTGCGAATATTGCAGTCTACTTGTAGTTCGATCTGGATGTTAAATGCACCCTGGTAATTGGTTTGCAAGCCTTTGTAGCACTTATTATATATTCACTTCTTCTGTTTGTTTGTCTTCTTGTAGTTGGTAACAATTAACAAAGGAAGAAGATGAAAATGACACTCGCGTTTTCACCTCCATGCGAGAAACTTAGTTTTAGACAAGCTGCAGTGCATGAAGCATATTTGGTTCTTTGGAGTTTGAAGATTAAAAACAGTATATATGCTCTTAGGGTTTTGCCGACTTCTGCTGAAGACTTTGTTGTTCATCGCAAGTGTTTTGCAGCATTCTCCTTCAATTACCTAATTCTGAGCTTTATTCGACACTGAACCATATTATTCGACACATTTGTGTTTTTTAAGAGCAACATTTATTTTTCGATCTAAGCAGAGAGAGAGATTTTGAAAGAGTAGGAAGATTAGTCGCTCCTTTTCTTCTTTAATCGCCTTATAAAGTGGAAAATGTTTGCCCACGCGCACCTTCTTTTTTTATTGGCCCATTTGGCGATTATAGCCAAATTTCCCTGGACTATAGTGTGGACAAATTGGGGTCGTAGTGTTCACGCGCCAAAGTAGCGCGTGAAGCCTTTTGTGATATTTAATTTATTTACTCGGCCCTTAACGTTGCCCGTTCCCGCGACAATGGCAGTGTCAAACTGACGTTTTTTTCCCGCTGTCGAGAAAGTTTTAAACAAATATGTTAAAGTAAATATTTGTATAATTATTCGATATTACTATTTTTAAATGTACTGAATCCTGTACAAGATCCTAACATTTTCAAGATATGATAATTTTATAATTTTTTGGGAATGTTATATTTATTACACAACTTCAAGTTACATAAAATAATGTTTTTTCCCAAACACATTTTACTCCATTTTCATGAATATTTCATAATTTTTTCAAAGACAACCATTTCATTTTTTTTAATTAATATGGTCTTTTATAGCAAAGACATATATATACATAGAATCGGGGTACTGAAAAATACAACGACCTATAGATATTTTTCACCAAATATTTACCGTAAGAACTTACATTCAACAGCCGTATAATAACCAAAAAAGAAACAAATGTTTTCAAGTGTCAATGTGTATACACAACACATTTACAAGACCAACCGATCAAAAGATTATCCCCCAAAAAAAAGCATCGGATCGATCACACTAACAAGAAACAAAACACAACAAACAATCTGTGATGTGACTTCACTCAAAACTCACTGAAAACTGTAACACTCGAGAGAGAGAGAGAGAGAGAGAGAGAGAGAGAGAGAGAGAGAGAGGAGGGGATCTATTCAGTAAGAGGAGGAGGTACCTGAGACCGAGGCGTGTAAAAATCGTAACGGACAAGTTAATAGCTGAAGGAAGTCAAATCTGCAAAGTAAAAATTTTGTAGCTAGAGAGTGAAGTTTTCTAAGTTCATAACTCTGAGTAGTTCAGCATTTGCAAGGGGGTAAAAGGTCAAGAACAACAAAGGAATGTAATATTGGACTTGACTGGCTGTAGCTTCAACTGTAGGCTTTTGGTCATGACTCATGAGCTAGGCTTTAACCATGGTTTTTTATCAAGTCGTGGATTTAAGCACCCGACAAGTGTTTCAGGGTCTTTGACTTTTATATGACATCTACTTTTCATATGATTTTTACATGTTCTTTTACTACCTACTATTTTTGATGGCATAATTATATCTCTCTGGCAAAGAATAGTGGCAGTACCTGGCCTAAAGCTTCCTTTTCATCATACTCCCGGAGAATACAATCTGCATGAATAGCTCGGGGATTCCGAATTCTCTCCAATGCAGTCCTGTTATTCAAGATCTCCAAGCATCTGGTACAGCTAGCTCCAATACCATCAACGGTCAAGGAGAAAAAATCTAATGCACCACTCATTGGTTGGACGAAGAATCCTAGGAGAGCGTCACTACGAACTTGGTAGAGGTGGCATCCCCACGGATATGAGTCCACTGGCGACCAAACCTTCTGTTCCTCGAACTCCGTCTCCTCGGCCATTGACTCTGCTATGCAGTAGACTGTGTTAAGCTCCGGCTCGTCGAAACCAGCCACTGCTACACCGCCCGTAGACACGTACCCTTCCGGTGCCCTCGGTTGCCATATCGATACCGGATTCACGTAGTCCTCTACGCAGTTCCTCCACACCTGTTTAAGAAGTTTTCTCTCAATCGGTTTTACCAACTTGCACTAGGGCTTCTTTCTCATAATCTACCTATGGTTGAATCATCTTTTTCTTGTTTCTCTCTCTTTTTATAGAGATTAGAAGATATTATAACAGTGACAAAGACTTACGAGGTCATAACCAACAGGAAGTGCAAAGAGTCCATCGGTGTTATGGTAAACAGCTGCAACATTCGGAGGATGGCTACCCACATGAGCTACATCTCCCACCGACACAAATCTGCCACAACAAAGATATATATTTATATATACACACACACACACATGTATAACAACATTTCAGCCATTGATGTGTTCCAACACCAAAAAAAAAACATTAACTTTAAGGGTATTGGTGATTACCCGTCTGGACAGCTAGGCCTCCAGATAGTGCACAAGTTTCCATCTTCTGGAGCCTGAGAGCACGAGTGGAATCGGGTTTCAGTCAGACTTCCTCTAGTTTCAATAGATTTGAATCAATCTTTCATATTTCTCATCAGACTTAGGTGGAAGGGACAACGTCAGATCATGACCATTAAAAGAAATAAAAAGATGGTAAAGAACATGACGGCTGGATTTTAATAGCAAGTAATATGCGTAGAATGATAGAAAGCAACGACAACAAAATTACCTGCTTTTTGCACAAAGAACATCTGCCTTTAGATTCCCGCTCACTGCTCCAGATTTTTGAAAAGTTGATGCTGTGTTTAACGAACTTCCTTTCACTGGAAATAGAACTCGAAGAAGCAAGCTCCCTTGACCTAGTAATAGCCTTGCTGTTGTAAGTTTTTGGTTCTCTTCCATCAGCTTCGGTCCAAGCAAAATACACATGCCTTTGGCTTGAAGGAACCTGTGGCAATAACACAGACAAGCGTTTAGATACTAAGACACAAGATTCTATAGAGTCATGTCTGACTTCGGAACATACTTCCCTGATCCATGTGTAATTAATTTCATTGATTAGAACGTAATCTATTAGATGAAATAAGATTGAGTGGAATATAGAGTTAGAGATATAACCTTGAGAACCAGGTTTTTCATGTTAGATTGATGTGTTCTCCACATTTTGCGCACAACTGAACAGATCCGAACAGCTTCAGGTTCAGTTCCATCTGATTCTTCGACCACGTTGCACTTTATAACCCGAGCAAAATTCTCAGATCTCTGGAAATTCTTCAGATGCAATATCAGATGCGAGGGTCGTTGGCTCCCAGCCTTTGCCAACTCCAATGCCATAAGCTCCTCCCAAGGCACATCCCACATGATCTTGCTGGGTTTCTTATCCATCTTATCCAGATCAGAACACTGCATATAAACCGCCAAGGCATATAAAGACAACTTAGGAAAGTATAAGTACTACACCAGAATATGGTATTTCAATTCTAGCTGCCTAACCTGTAATAACATAACCCTTTTGTTGGTCATCATGACGATGCGCTTGTATGGAACGATGAAATGCTCTTCGTAATAATCCGAAAGTGCAAATTTCGAGGGTTCCCGGAAGATCTCGGTGCAGCCAAAATGCCGACTTGTTTCTGCTAGGTGAAGAACCGTCTAGGAATAAAGAAGCAATATAAACAGAAATGAGAACCAGTTTGAAATTTATAGCACAAATGACAAGCTAGACTAGAAATATTTAAGTTAATAGCTGAAGGAAGTCAAATCTGCAAAGTAAAAATTTTGTAGCTAGAGAGTGAAGTTTTCTAAGTTCATAACTCTGAGTAGTTCAGCATTTGCAAGGGGGTAAAAGGTCAAGAACAACAAAGGAATGTAATATTGGACTTGACTGGCTGTAGCTTCAACTGTAGGCTTTTGGTCATGACTCATGAGCTAGGCTTTAACCATGGTTTTTTATCAAGTCGTGGATTTAAGCACCCGACAAGTGTTTCAGGGTCTTTGACTTTTATATGACATCTACTTTTCATATGATTTTTACATGTTCTTTTACTACCTACTATTTTTGATGGCATAATTATATCTCTCTGGCAAAGAATAGTGGCAGTACCTGGCCTAAAGCTTCCTTTTCATCATACTCCCGGAGAATACAATCTGCATGAATAGCTCGGGGATTCCGAATTCTCTCCAATGCAGTCCTGTTATTCAAGATCTCCAAGCATCTGGTACAGCTAGCTCCAATACCATCAACGGTCAAGGAGAAAAAATCTAATGCACCACTCATTGGTTGGACGAAGAATCCTAGGAAAGCACGTCCTATCCCATGGGCAAACCCCAAAAGACCATTCTGTCTTGCACTCTCTACAGGTTTCGTCACAACTCCTGATACCCCAAAGGCAACACCTTGTGCCAGGGCTTCGGTTCCTTGAACAATTGCATCGCCGACACCGGTGATTCTCCTCGACCAAACCTGGTCCATTTTGAGATTTCCTTAAGCAAAGAACCAAAGTGATCGACTCTACTATGCATATAGGAAGTTTGTTTACCTGTCTAGCTCGTAGTTGCAGGAATTGACCATCAGTTGAAAGCTCAGCAAACCCTTTACTAAGAGAAGCCAGTGTTGAGCTTGTCATACCCAACACATCAACAGAGAAAATCAAATGCAAAGGATTGTGGATCAGATCTCTCCATATGCGATTCCCAATGGCTGGAACTATCGAACTTTTCCGTATGAATCTGTCTTTGTGCATTACCCTCCTCAGATGAACCTAAATGGAGAAATGAATATGTTACACGAATGCCATCCTAGACCTCAATTTTGTCAATCATGATTGCCAGATATATTATAAATTTAGCTAGAAAGTCTATCGACAGAAAATAGCAGTAAATGTCCCCCCAGTGACACATTTTACACCTCAAGCGATATGTTGTGTATGAGATTGGAAGTTAAAGACTTCATATTTTACATTCAGTTCTGATAATATCTAGCAGCTATCTACCATGAACAATCTTTAAACTACCTCGAACTTAAAATCCAGAAATCCATTCGAGAAAAGGAAAGAAAAAAGAATCAGAGCTAGTCATATACTATTACTAGACTGCAGGAGATGACACCTTGAGAAGAGATTTTGAATTTCCAGGAATGATAGACCTGACCTGAATTTTAAACGCATTGCCAACAGCAGACAGAATAGGGCTCCACACACCAAGAACTCCATGGGGTCTCTGAGCTGGTGCTGTTTCCAGTGCGATTTTGATTCTTACTTCTGAAACATCAATGAGGCTGGAAAATCACATAAAAACCGTAAGTTTAAGATCTGCTTGAACAAATCATGATTTAGTTTCCAGTTTCGAACTGGCATGTTGTATGCCCCAGCGAGACAAGATGGACTGAGTTAGTATGAAATCATAAACAAAAAATGAGGAGACACATGTAATACTTTATTCTAATCTCAGGATCAACTTGAGCAACACTAGAACTCTTGGGTATGCGATCCAACTGAAGCTTATCGTAGAAGTCAGCTAACGCCCAAATGATTGGCTCATGAATGTTTAGTCTCCAAGTATTCTCCGTCACCTGCAAATCGGATTTCATTTTCATAAATCCATCACATGCTTGAGATGATACTCTTAAAAGAGTTATATTTAGTTGTGATAAAGAAAACATACGTAGAATATACTCACCCGTACATATACATATGGATAGACCTGAATGCCGTCAGTTTCATCGTTACACATTGTAATCGTCATCTTAAGCACCGGTTGATGATTATCTCCAGTGTTATCTGGTGCCAGTAGTACAGGCATGATAGATAGAGGCAGGTGATTATCAATCTGCAAATGGCCCAGTATGACTTTGAACCTGGCAAAAAAGGAAAATGCATGCTATCACATTTTTCGCACTGGTGTATATAAAGAAAACATTGATTTCACAACTTTCATGGGTATAAAGTAGATGACACCTTATCTCCTAAAATTAATAAATTTCACTAGTGGCATAAGTAACGTCAAGATGAGTAGCGTACTCAGATAACACCATCATCACCTAAAATTAGGACACTTCAAAATGTAATGACAAGTTCAATTACTAATATAAACTACCTTCCCTAGTCTTGAGTTGTATCACTACAGATTTTGATTTTACCTGCTTGCTCTTCCCCCATCATATCCTGCAGAGTATGATATGAAC